GCGCGCCGCTGCCACCCCGGAGCCCAAACCCCTCCTACCCCCGCCCCCCAACTCCCTGCCCTAAGCCCCCTCCTGCATCCCAGCCCCCTGCCCTGAGCCCCCTCCCACAGTCCGCACCCCTCCTGCACCCCAACCCCATGCCCTGAGCCCCTTCATACACCCTGCACTCCTCCTCTGCCCCAATCCCTTGCCCTGAGCCCCTTCCTGCACACCTCACCCCCTCCTGCACCCCAACCCCCTGCCCTGCATACAATTTCCCCACCCAGATGTGGCCCTCGGCCCAAAAAGTTTGCCCACCCCTGGACTAGATGATCTAGTGGTCCCTTTGTGCCTGAACATTTATCAATCTGTGATCCCTGCTCAGTCTCCCCAAGAAGTCAAATGAAGATGCTGAAGTCACTTAGGTCAACTCCACCCAAGCACAGAATTCCACTGGCACACAGCTCATTGCCGACCTTGGTACTGAAACTCTGTATTACCTGAATATAGTATAAAAGAGAAGTGCATTAAAACAAATGACTAGTGTCAGTACATGAACACTCAAAAGCTATTAGCTTCCTGTTAATTAAATTGTGGTCCTAGACAACCAAGTCAAAATGAATACCTTGAATGCTGATTACAGTAGAAGGAATTGGATGTTCTCTAGCATGGACCTTCCTGAAGACAGGTTTGCCTAACAAAGTGATGGGCAGAAGATGAGTGGATGGATCACAGTGACTCGGTGATGTTAGTGAACTCTATTTCTATTTCACACAAGGTTATTGTTTTTAAATCCCCATTGCAGACACTCTTGTCTGCTCTCCTGCACTGATGGGAAAAAGCAGAGCCAGAGAGAAGTGATCCAAGAGTTTACCCTCATAGCCATGGTGGCAAGCTATGGACATCTATTTCCAGCGCAGTTGGCCAAGTTCAATCTCAGTTACACTGGAAAAATGTTGAAAATTGTATGTGGTGTTATTTAATTTTTTTTAACTGTCCCAATTTGGGGCTGGCTCCTCAGAGTCTGACGCTGCGTGTGCTTTTCAGACAAGCGATCAGGGAGATCAGAGCTCCGTGAAGTACCTTGTTAGCTAAAAATGGTTTCCCATTGTCTGAGCTTGGGCCTCTGAACCCCTCCTCATACAGAGTCACAGTCATTATTGCGCTCTGCTAGTACTAAGCGGGAGACTGATGGCTCCTCTTCTCTAATGCAGAGCTAACACCCGAGCAACACTTGCAAGGTGTATGTTAACCAAGGAGGCATGTATGTCTGCTCCCCTGTTGGACAAGTGCAGAGATTTGGTACCACATGCATGGCTCACATACAACCCTGTGAATACACCGGCATGCTTGTCTAATTATTTGTTGCTATTCTTACGCTTATTGAGCCCAATTCTCCACTGCCCCTTGAAGCCTTGCTGGCAGCACAAATGCTCTGTGAAGGCAGCAAATCTCCATGCTGGGGAAAACCCCAGCATAGGGTCTTCCCTAGAGGGCCCAGAGCTGCCATAACTGGTCTTTTCTCCCAGCCCCTAGCACAGACAGTTGCTGGGGAAGAGAACATGGCTGAAGTGCCATGGTACTCCAGCTACTCTCAGATGATACCGTGGCTCTATGGTGTTGTTGCCGCCAAGGGTAAATTAGAGCAGATGTGGGGCTGTTGTAATTTAAGCTGATGTCTGGACAGGCCATTGGACAGCCCAGAACATAGGGAGGTGCAAAGGTGGCATGAAGTCCCTAGTCCTATGCCAGGCGCTGGCAGGATGGAGAAGGAGTATCTTTAGTGCAGTGATGGTTCCCTAGTTCATGTAACTCGGTTTGCAGGAACTCATCTGAACGTGCTTTCATATATGGCTGGCATTTCTGATGAGCTAACAATCACACATTGAGTCTGTACAGCCAAGAGCACATAGCCTGCTGCTCCCGAGCTGTACCACAGCAGCCGGACTCTGCCGTTCAAACCCCAGCAATAGTCCGTGAGGAACCATTCCTGCCTCGCCCACTCCCTGAGGAGGGTGCCAGGATCCAGAACACCAGATGGGGAGGACTGATTTCTCAGGCGTCCTTGCAGAGCGGCATTTTAAACAGCGAAGCGTTTCTTGGCAGCATGCAGCCAAGTGGCTTTATTTCACAATCAGCTGTATCCGCAGCACTGATTGCCGACAGACTGACATTGGAATTACAGAAGATGATTGATTCTCTGTTTCTCACTGATCTCCATCTGATAAAAGGGAGGCAGACCCCCCAGCCCCAACTGTTCTTGCTGACAGAGAAATTTAGTTACATATCACCCTGTACCTGGGGACAGGGATCAAATCACCGTCTGTGGAGTTTGGCCATACCTCTCTGGGCAGGCAATGGTGTACTGGTGTCTTGTGCAGCGCCATGCACACTGCCTGCACTTGGGAATAACAATGCTGGCTCCAGCTACCCCCTCCTGTAGGGAAAACCCATGGGACGGGGAGGCCTAGCTACTCCCTAATCTGTAAGGGACATATGGGATTTGCAGGGCTGATTCTCAAATTATGTGGGAGCTCTCCAGGATTCACACGGACCCCAGGGATCAGCAAGAGGCCAGAGAAACCCGAGTGGAAGACCCATGCCTCCCTACTGCCTCTGCGTTCCCCCCTTCCCTGGCAGCATGACGGTGCCGCAAGAACTGCAGCCCATGAGGGAGGGATCCCCACCATGGGGCAGGGCTGCGGACACACGGCATGGGGGCCAGTCCTGCCGCAGAAATGGCTGACATCCCCTTCAGGAGAAGGTACCAGCAGGCCCCACATTTTGGTCCATGCCTTAGGCTTGCCTCTCCCCTACCCCTGATGGCTGTGAAGAGCATGGGTCAGACTGCACGCGGATTGAGGAAAGCCATTTAGGAGACTGGGGGGTTGTCGACACTGGAGCTGCAAAGAGTAACTCCCAGCGTAGTCTCCACATGGGCTAGCTCTGATCGAGCTACCCTGCTAAAAATAGCAGCGTAGCCCTGGAGGGCGCATGTGCTACAGTCTCCCCAGGCACAAGCCTCTCTGAAAGCCTAGGTGCATCCTTGGACAGCTACCCCCTCCCGCCGCCACAGCTACACTGCTAGTCAGCGCGCAGGTCTCCCTGAGTGGGAAACCTCCCCTTCCAGCTCCAGAGCAGACAGGCCCTGGGAGAAAATCCCCTGCGGCAGGCTCTGGGTCTGGCAGTCAGAAGCTGGCCTGCGCAGGTCACTGTGCAGGAGCATGCCAGCCTGGCGCAGAGGATCAGAGTTCCCAGGGACTGTGTGGCTAAGCACCCCAAGGACAGCTGTCCTAATTCAGTGCAGCCGCTCAGGCTGCCCAGGCTGGGGTCCATTTCACCCCATTTGCCCTCCCTCCCCCCAGGGCTGTGAGTTCCGCGCTGAGGCAGATTCTCCCTGGTACGTGCTGTAATCACTACAGCTAAAGGACGGGGATTACTGTGAAACACACGTGAGGTTAAGCTGGTGACAAGGACACATCACTCGCTGTTAGACGGTGCCGTGCTAACACTAGCGGCTCGGAGTAGGTGGCAAGGAAACTGAACAGCGCTTTCTTACCATTCAGAAGTTTCCCTCCATTAAAAAAACAAACAGGAAATAAAGGAAAAAAGAGCAGAATGAGCATCCGGCAGTTAACACCACAGAGAGGAACAGTGGCACGGGGCAAGGAGGGAATCAGAAATCCATACCTGTTATTGTGAAGCCACCTAAACGAACCACAAAACAAAAAAAGAGAGAGAGAAAGAGAAAGCAGATTAGCATCTATTTTTGCATCATCACAGTGACATTCATCTCGCAGCAGCCTCCCCCCGGAGCAGTGGCCCACACGCTCCTGCTACGATGTGAGCTGCAGAGGAACAGCTCACTACAACACCTGTCTCCCATTTCTAGCAGAGGATGTCCCCTGCCTCGGGTCTGCATGGAGTGCCATGGTCTCTCCCAACCCATTCTGCTGGGCCTTGTGTAGTGCGCTCCACTCTGAATGAGGGGCTCTGAATGGGTGGGTGGGGGAGACTGGGCTGCAGGAGGCCAGGAGACAGCAGGACTATGGGGCGGATGCATGCCAGCCTCCCTCCCACCCCACATGGCTTAAGATAGCACCTCCTGGAACAATCTCTTTTTCACCCCAGCCACCCCAGAATCATGGGGACACTGCAGCCAGCTGCTCCCCCACCATCACTCGGGGGAAGGGGGTTTGCCCCCTGCTCAGTAGGCCCAGGGACCAGCCTCTCCCCCGCCCCCTGGCACTGTGGATCCCAGGGAATCTGAAGGAGGCCAGCGCTAATCCTACAGAGGCCCTTTGCCTCCTCAGTAGCTGCTCAGTCCCCTCGAAATCCCAAATTAGTCCTGGAGGGCTCCATTGAAGAGACAGGAGAGCTCCAGATACATCTTCACAGGGCCAAGGGGTGGTTGGGAATGTGGTTTTCCCTGGCCCCTCCCTTGTACTACCCAGTCTCCCCCCATGTGCAGCAAGATCCTGGACTAGTGGAGAGCCTTCCGTAGGGTGCAGACCGGAGGCAGGGCTGGTGCTGTGGAGATAGCTAGCCCTCCTATCCACCCATGGAGGACCCCCTTGGGGTGTGGTTCGGGGCTGGGGTGGGACACGCCTCCTAGGTCCCCTATGGCAGGTTCTACCCTAGCAGTGGCCAATCTAACTCCAGTTTGGGAAGTGCAGATTCACTACAAAGCTGAGCTGTGCAAATCTCTTCCTTCCCTGCCAACCAGACATGAGAGAGAGGGCATTTCTAGGAGGCGACAGTGGCTAGAATCACACAGTGGAAAAGATCAAAAACCCTACAGCTACTATCCCTCCTCTCAACCCAGCCTGGCCCGAGCGCAGGGCTCAGTGTGGGAGACAGAGCAGAGGGAGGGATGCACAGAATTCAAAATGATGCAGGATCCTCTCATTAAGAGCAAGTTACTCTTCCTAGGGCCTCACCCCATGAGTCTTTATTTCTGGTGTGAGAACATTTTCAGCAATAAAAGCAGCAGTGGGGTGGGCGTGAGAGGACATGATGCACCAAATCCATGCTGCAGCTGGGTAGCTTTAGGACTAAATGGAGGGCTATTCAAGAGGGATGGATACAATGCTGGGGAAGAGGAAAGCCCCTTCCACCACTATTTCCACCAAGCCCCTGAGTGCTCAGACATCCCTAGAAACATTCCCCATTTACCTAGAGCCGGGGCGAAGTTCTGCTCATACCAAGTTACTACTGCCCAGAGCAGCATTTTCTACAATGGTCCAGTGCTCACAGAAATGAGTGAGAGTCTTTCCATTGATTCCAATGAGCCTTAGATAAGGCCCAGGCTTTGGTTTTCCAAGGTAGCCTGCAGAATGCTTTAGCTTTGCTGGGACTCCCCTTCACACCCTCATTTTGTGTGTTTGTGTATCCTGCTTGGGATAGCTTTTATGCCAAATTTGGAGGCTGGTTTTGCAGTGTGCTCTAAGAAGGCAGCATGCCATGCCTCCCTCAAAACAGCATGCAGAGTTTTCTGAATATATGTAGTTAGGGTATGTCTACACTGGGAAGTTATAAGGAAGAGAGTTTAAAATGCTATAGCTGTTCTGGAATAGCTCCCCGTATGCGCACACTGATTCTTGAATAAGAGTGTGCACAGGGGGAGTGATTGTGGAATAGCTCTTGTGGTCAATTTCACCACAATAAGCCCTAAGTATTCTGGCCAGAGCATTGCCAGGTACTACAAACATTCTGTTTCTTATGCCTATGTAACAGGATATGAATTAGTTTGAACAGCTCAGTTCTGTTGTGCATTTCTGAGACTCTTAGTGCTTTCCACATCTTTTTACTACAAATTAGCGCACAGTGTCCAGTGAAAGCAACCTGAAGGATAGTAGCAAACCCAAGGAGTTAATTGTATTGAATGTATCCACTAGTGGCCAGAGTCCGATACCATTGCTCCCATTCAGTAGCGTCTAACGCCCTAATAACCCCATTGGGATTACTTGTGGAGCTACTCACTGCACCTAAGGGTGACAGACTCTGATCCTAAATGTGCTTGTTGTCTGGGATTTCCAAAGGAGCTAACTGCCCAAATCCCAGTGAAATGCTGTTCCTAACCCCCTTAGGCTCCCTTGTCATTGTAATTAATGCCACTTTCAATTATGATTTTAGCCACTGTCCCTCCTTTAACACAAATGTTCATGTCTCAGCTAACAATTTTTGGAGCATATACTCAAAGAAGAACATGATCTCAATTACCTGGGCTTAGTAAAATGGTATTAACAACCTTAAGAGAGATTCTTGTGAGCAAAAAGAAAAGTCAAACAAAATCATCATTTCCACCAATATACGGACACACTGGGAAAATGGAAAAGAAATACAAGAAATGCAGTGCTTACCAAGCTCATTCAACAACAGAGCTGTGAAGGAGACAGACAGAGAGACAAACACGGAAGAAGAAAAGTAAATGAATAATGAAATTAAAAGGAACATCCACAGAAAGACTCCAGCTCCCAGGCCCAGACAATGAAAACCTGTGAAGTTTCAGGATACCATTGGTAACCCAGAAAAGAGCATTGAAAATAATGGAACAGAAACATTTCATGAGCGTGGGCTGTGAATTAAAAGAAAAAAAAATAATGTCACATATAGCAATATGGTATAAAAGACAAACTTTAAAAAAATTCATTTCCCCCCTTTGGGCCATGTATTCATGGCGCGTCCAACAACATCAATGGCAATACCACCACAGATCGAGGAAATAATATGTCCCAAAATATGAATGTAAGGGCTGTTTGCTGGATTCTTTTACTTCCTTTAATAGTCTAAATGGAAAATAATAATTACATAATGGCCTGATTTCTACAGGGAACGTAGAATGAAAGAAGTACAGTTTGTGCTAGGGCTTGACTCACGAAATATAATACAGTATTTATCCTGTCATTTAGCAAAATGACAGTTTAAGCCCTGATAAAAAATAACTATCATTTAGCATTCAGGTAGCACTCTGGATCTTTGAAGAACTGAACACTCTAACTAATTACTTCTAGCAATACCCTGAAAAGGTAGTAAGATCAGGAAGTATTAACCCTTTTCAAAGGGAGGGAAACTGAAGCAGAGAAGATCAGGCCAATATTTTCAAAAGCAGCTGCTGATTTTAGGTATTTTAATTTTTGGCACACCTAGGCCTGATTTCAGAAGCTGAGCTCACAGTATTACCAGCCCCAAGAGTTCAAAAATCATGACAGTCCTCAAAAACTGGTTTAAAAATCATGAGATTTTAAAAAGACTAATACATTTTTGGCTCTTTTTATTTACCTTCTGACTACTAAGACTTTATGGAGCCTTGGCTTCACATTTTCAAGCTTTCCCCTGCAACCATGAGAGCTAGAAACTTACTTTTTATAAACCAAAAGCTGAGAGTCTCATGTCATCACAGGACTCCAGCAGCGAGAGCTTTAAAAACCCTCCAAATAATCCAAGATTCATGATAAAACCATGAGAGTGGACAATACTGCGCCCATGCAGTGCCGAATGAAATCAATGGATAGCTTTTAGCGTCAATGGTTAATTTTATTTTGGTGGTACAAAAAAAATAGTAGGTGTCCCTAGCACTGCTAGTGATGCAAATCCCACTCACTGGGATTCTATTGCATTGCGCTAGTGTGTCAGATTTAATGGAATTTTCTGTGAGCTAATAATCACATAGGGCATCCATCTGTCAAGGAATGCAGGGGAGGAGGAAAAAGGTCCATGTGCAATGTTCTCTCTTGGGATAAATGCAGCCCCTCGGAGGAATCCATCTAGTTCTAGGTAATGGCAGCTTCTCTCCTCTCAGCGCGCTAGGCCAGAGAGGGAGCAGGGAACCCAGTGCTCCCATGCAGGCGGCAGCCAGAAGGATGCAGCTATTGCTTGCCAGTATCTTGGAAGGTGTGTGTGTCTGTGTGTGTGCTCTCATGCCCAGCAGCACCAAATGTTACAAGACCTTGTCTCTGGGTGGAGCTGGGGTGTGGCCATAGTTCACCTTCCCCTGGGAACCCCAAGCACGTGGGGAGACTGGAGGAATAGCAAGTTGCACCTTGTCTAAAGGCTGCTGGTGAGCAACGGCTGGGCTCTCCCCAGTACTCCACAAGCACCATGGGGCAATTCACTGGTCCCTCTATGCGCAACTGGCATAAATTGGCTGGGGAATACTGCTTGGCAGATGCAGAGCTGGCAGACTCCCTCCTCTTAGGTGTGCTGTAGCGCTTGAGGCCTGGCTGAATCACTCCTGAGCTCCGGCTAGTGTATGGTGGATTCAGCTCCAAGCAAGCCGGCTCTGGCTGCCTTCTTATGCATGGCAGTGCCAATGCAACTAACCAACTAGGAAATGTTGCAAGACAGCATCAACCTAGTATGGGGCAGAGGTGTCTGGCTGGTCCCTGTGCTCTAAGACTGCCTGCCTGATGAATGCACCCACTGAGCACAAAATTGCACCCGTCCCTTTCCCCCTAGTTCTCCTATGAATACACTCTGAGAAAAATGCGCCTTTGAACAGGATTAGAAATGTACCCAGCTGTTAGAAAGGCCTGGATTTAGAGCCACTGAACAACTCACTGTGTGAACAAAAGTTAGTTTTTCCAAAGGCAGAATTGTTTGAGCCTGATAAAATCATGCATTTACTTGAGTAAAGATGAATCGGACTGAACTGAATTTCTTGTCTGTGTAATTTATTAAACTAATCCAGATTATTCTCCTCTTTCTTTTATATGAACTAGCTTAATTATTTTTTTTTAAATCAGACAGCTACCAGTGAATAGACATTTCCTATTCATTTGTTTTTCTGTAAGAAGGGGTATTTTTATTTTTTTTGCCTACTGAGGGAAAAGGAACTAAAATAAATAGTATTGTGTTTCAGTCTAAATGCACCAACATTTGATATACATGAAGTCATCTTAGACCTCGATCCAACAAAGCACTTAAGCATACATGACACTAAGCATGTGAAAAGAAGAACAGGAGGACTGCATGTGAGTAGCCCCCTTGACTTAATCGGGACTACTCACATTTGACACACACGGCGCTGACCCACACTTGTGCTGAAGCCCATCTCTATCCAGGACGAAGTGGGCATTCACCCATGAAAGCTTATGCTCCAATACATCTGTTAGTCTTAAAGGTGCCACAGGACTCTCTGTTGCTTTTTACAGATCTAGACTAACATGGCTACCCTTCTGATTTCTATCCAGGACAGCACTTAAGGACACACTTAACTTTAAGCACATGCTTAAGTGCTGTCTTGAACAGGGCCATGCTTTCCTGAATCAAGGCCATGCTTACATGCTTTGCTGGATCGGGGGTAGTCAGCAAATGAGCGGATTTAGTCTATAAGAAGGGAAGCCTATTTATTTCTTTGGGGTGAAATGCCACAAGATGTGGGGAGCCCAAGCAATGCCCTCTGCACCACTGCTGTCCTGCACAGTGGTTGGGAGTGGGGCACAGGGTGGATGTGCTGGATGTAAGGACCCAGCATGCCCCGTGCGATGTAGAGGCGACTTCATGGTGGGACCTAACAGGCTAGCATGGAAGGGTCACTAATGAGTGCCAAGGCTGGATGGGGTTGGGGAAGGGCTATGAGATCTACATTTGTGTTATCCCTAGTCTCCAACTCCCCACATAGAGGGCACAGGGGAGCTAACGCCACTATTCCAGCTGCCCCCTGTAAATTCCTATGGAGCGTCCACAAACACCAGTTTGCTAAGGCCCCCATTCAGCAAAGCAGATAACAATGTACCTAAGTCTTAGATTCAGAGATCTGAAGGTTGGAAGGGATCATTATGATCATCTAGACTGACCTCCTGTACAGCATGGGTGAGAGAACCTCGCCCAATGCTTTCTGCTTTCTCTTTGAGCTATAAAATCTCTTCTGGAAAGACACCCAGCCTTGATTTAAAGACGCCAAGTGACTCCATCCACCACATCCTCAGATAAATTGTTCCAAGAGTTAAGTACCCTCACTGTTAAAAATGTGCATTTTATTTCTAGTCTCCTTTTGTCTAGCTTCAGCTTCAAGCCATGGGAGCTTGCTATGCGTTTTTCTGCTAGATTAAAGAATCATCTATTATGAGAAATGTCTTCTCCCTATAGGTACTTGCAGACCATGATCAAGTCACCTCTTACCCGATCTGGGATAAACTAATCCTGGGACTCAAAAGTTAAACATGTGCTCGAGTGCTTTGCTAAATCAGGGCCTAAACGTATGATAATAATAATATCATAATACAATCTGATGATTCCTAAGTAGAAGATATCACCTAGAAATTAAACAGGAAGTCAAAGAGACAAAATGTTGCTAACAATGTTTGGGTTGTTAAAAAAAATGTCTGTTATGTTGTGACTAATTATTCAGGATAATTATTTTATTGCTGTAATGTCCTAATTAGCCATCAATAATTCATGAAATGAGTTACATCCATTCAGTTTAAGTTATCTTTTTAAGAAAATAAATTGCTTAGAAAAATTAGCAGCCCTTTTCTTTTTATGAATATGTTTGCAGTTGCTTTAGAGAAATGTTTTTATTTTGTGTGATGGAAACTGATTTCATCCTCCTTATGAGGATTCAGTGGGATGTCCATGTCACTGCACTTTCAGTGCATTTTACCTATTTACTTCCAGATTCACTGGGTGAAATCCTGACCACAGACATCCTACTGGAATTACCTGATTTTGAACTAACTTCAGACGTCATTGTATGCTCATTACCAGTGTAAAAAGCTAAAAATGTTGCGCTAAGAATGTGATTTTTATTTAAACAGAGGGTCTACTTTATCTCCTGCTAAAAATGATGCAATTGTCTTTTTTAATTAAAAAAGAGACTGTTTTCTCCTAGATTAAAAGAATATTTGTATATGAGATTTCAGTGCTGTATATTTTGAATACACAACTGAAATGTCTTTGTTTCTGATACTGTTGCAATAGCAATTGACAGTTTAGGATTCACACTCTGACTTCCCACATTGCATGTGCTGGAATCTCAGACCCACTCTAGTGTTTGTGATCACATTGTGGGAGTTAGATGCTGCCATAAACTCCTGGCTGACAGCACCAATGCAATATGTGTGAGCTTGTCCCTCTCTAGCTAGCATGGAGAGGATATGAACCCCTAGTGATTTATTCACAGGATTGTTTTCATTTACTGCCTCACAAGTGGGAGCAGTTCACAGATGAACACTTGACAAAAAAAGTCAGTTTGTATTTAGTCCCAACCCTGCTTCAGTGGGAGCTAGTCAGTGGGACCAGAGTTACACCTGCCAAACAATAAACAAGGTAAAGTTGCTAAGCTTGAGAGGAGATATGGCAAAATATTTGGAAGCCAAGTGCGAGGAGAGAGCAAGTGTGAGAGTAGGGAGACAGAGAGAGAGCAGACTACAATTTCTCGAGAGTTTGTCTGGGTTTACTCTCACACCTTTCATTCCTCTTCGTAGCCATATTGGTTCCTCAAGCACAAGGTAGAAACTGCACTCTTTCTCATATTCCTCACGGTCAAGTATTTTAAGGGTAATGAATTTCCTGTGGGAACACAAGACAAAGGCAAAACAAATGGTTGGCGTCACACACTCATGCTTTAAGTTCAACCAGGCGAGATGGTTACCGAGATGATATGAAGGGAGGAGCACATCTGCCTCAGTTACTTATGTAAAAGAGCAGAAAGTCCATCACTGCACCTAGGCTGTTTCATTCTGAAAAAGGAGCCACTCCACAAATTTAACTCTGAAATGAAGTAGATAGGTTTACATTGTGGGGAGCTATTGTTCATGCACCACATAAGCGTTAGATGGAAAAGGAAATCCAAACACCAGAGGGTTTGGTTGCTTTGCTTGCAGCCAATCTGTATCTGGATTCTATTTGTAATTCTGTGCCAAGTATCTGAGCCGTAAAAGCAGGTGGACTGGTTTTGCTTTTAAGTAACAGCAGCACCCCAGCAACTTATGAAGGGCCAGATCCTTGACTGGTGTCAGCCGTCATTACTCCATTGAAATAAATGGAGCTATGCTGACCTACGCCAGTTGATAATCAGGCCCAGAATGTCTGAATTTAAGTATGGAAAACCGAAATTGGAGTCCAAAGTGCAAACAAAGGTTCTCAGCTCCAGGCCCTAGTGACTTGACTCCTGCTCTTTGACATAGATAGAGGAAGGCATGTTTTAGATTGCACGTATTGGAAAGTGCCAGGCATCCATGAGTGATCAGGACATGTGCACGCAGGCTGGGCTCAGCCTCAGAGCAGATCCCCCACCTTTCTTCTCACTCATCTCCACCAGACGGGGCTCCCCAATCTCAAGGTAGAAGGTCTTGTTTTTCTCATACTCCTCATCATCAATTATTTTGACTGATATCGTTTTGCTGAAACAGAGAAGAATAGATATTCAAGAGTAAGGGGGGAAAGGGACAGTAAAGAAAAGGAGAAACAAGAGGGAGGACAGAAACGTCAAAAGGAGGTTAGTTTGGGCAAAGACTCATCAAGTAATTATCTCAGGGGGCAGACACACAGCATCCCACAGCATTCTACAATAAGGCTCAGGTATAACACTGAAATGCACCCTGGGAACTATGGGGCTGAGGTCACATCTGGGATAAGTAGGGGCAAACTCCATGGGCTGGTATGGAATTAACTCCACTGGCCCTATGGCTGCATTTGGCCTGTGTTCTTCACATGCTGCATCTCTGGATCTTCATGATATGTGAAATATATGTGGTCGTTGCCACAGTAACCCTCCCTGGGGAATGGAGGAGATTGCCCCTGAGCCACGTCCCCAAAGAGGAGGAGAGGTGAAGCACATGGAATCCTGCACAAGGATGCCAGGGTCCCTCTCTCACTGATTAGCAGGGTCTCGAGTTAATCCATCCCAATCAAAGCCGAGGAAAGTGAAGAATGAGCAGCAGGCTCATCAGAGTGTGAGACAGAAAAGCAGAAACCCTGAGAAGATGGAAGGGACCTTTCATCTGAAAGCCCTGCTCTGGGCTCTATATAGAATGTGTGTGCATGTATGCACACACGTTCACACATGCACTACTAATGTTTCAGCCACCTCAAGGGTGTCTACATTGACATGGAATTGAAACACGCCTGGTAGGACAGCAGCCCTGAGGTCCCATCCTTTCTGCCTTCCATGGGCCCTAAATCCAATGGGGAGTGCTGGCTGGGGCTTCTTGGCCTTTACTCTGATGGGCCAGCTTGGACATGTGCTCGCTCACATCTGGAATTCATACAGGACAGAGGTATTTCCATAGAGAGTGACCAGTCTATGGCCCTTTAAAAACCAGCACAGTTCCCAGCCTCACATTCCCCTGAGAGCCTGCCCCATTAGTCCACCCACCCTGTTGTGGGCCTTGCCAGTGTCACCGGGCGATCTGGTGGGCACTTTGGTCTCTGGCTCTTGCTGGATCATTGTGATCATCACTGTGCACAAGCGTGGGTTGAGACCTGAAATTTTCACTCAGTAGAAATGGCTGCCATAGACCATGGGAGCTTTGCTTAAATACTAACGGAATAAAAACTGAGGCCCCACGCTGCTCCCTCCAGGGCCCCATTCTCCTCACTCCAGGCCCTGCAGAAGGAGAGGCGTTCCATCTCTGCAGTCTGCCCCCTGATCTTCTCAAACCTGCGGGCTCCATGGAGTCCCACTCTCCAGAGCTGGGAGGGATGGCTGAGGAGAGTGAAGCTGTTTGGGCCCCAGCCTTTGGGGAACATGTAAGGCTTGCATTAGTTTGCACTTTGTACCCCTCTCTCTGTGTGGGGTACATCCCTTTAGAGAATAGTCTGTGATATCCCCTGGACGTGTAGCTCTATAGCGATCAGGAAGAAGCAAAACCTCTCCTCAACTGCAGATCCCAGCAGCTCTGAAGGGATCTGAGTTCAAGGAGGTGATATTCAGGTTTATCCTCTGGGAGCAAACCATGCTCTTCCAACAGAAAAGCTTGGAAGCAAGGTCCCCACCAGCTGAGGCTCGCAGAATTCTCTTTTGTAGGTAGGGGAGAGAATAGGCCCTGAATAAAGACGTTGGGATTTGGCCCAACATGCATGGCCATCGTGGCCCTTGAGGCCAGACTCAGAACTGTCAGGACGCCACAGGCCAAACTCCCTTTGACATGTGAGCCCCGAATCTTCTGACCCCATACCCTCCCCTCAAATCCCACTCTTGGGAATGGCTTGCTACCCCCTGACTCTCACAGTGAAAAGCCATTACCGAGAGAGACAACTGCAGCCAACCACTCTTCACAGGAGCGATGATCTGTTTGAAATAACCTTTATAAAGGGCTAAAACCATTGTCGGCAGCCAAGGATCTCTTCTGGAGACGTGGGACATTTACCTGTAAAACAGTCACTTAACCTACTTCCATCCTTTGCCTCTGTCGTTATGTACTCAATGCTTTGTGACAAGCCCGCATTAGCGTGGGCTCTTACAGCCTCGGCTCACGGGTCTGCCACTGCTCTCCCATTATTTTTAAGTGGTGCATTTTGCTGTGGTTTCCATATTAGGTTGGCGTGTAATGCTCAGAGAGCTTGGGGCAGCCTAGGTCCCTTAGTAACGATGCGACTCTGTGGCCTCACTACAAAAAGCCACAGGCTCCGGCTGACATTTGAAACTCAAAACAAACAAATAAATCACTCACCCCCTTGAAGCTAACAGAGAATGTTTAAGCTAACCAGCCAAATGAATGAAAACGGCAGCTTCTCACAGACACATGCATATGACAATGGTCAGCCATTCAAGTCTGATTTTAAAGATGTCTCTCTTGAAGCTAGTAGTTTATAGGTTTCCATATGATGCTAGATATGACCTTTCACACTCTGGGAATTCAAAGGAGATAGATTCTTTCTGAAGGCTAAGGCAGGAGGAAGTGAAGAAAGCATCAATGGTGGTAGGCTATTTTTTTTAAAGCAATACATTCGTTTTTCAAACCAAAATTATTTTGATTATATTTTTCTCAAGGGCCTTAATGTGGAAATTGACCTATACGTCCACATTCTTATCCAGCCTAGCCACTTAAGACTATTTGTCTGTTATTACTGAATTTACTGTTCTAGCAATAACATGAGTATGAAGGCTTGGAAAAGGGGTAGGCAACCTATGGCAGGCGTGCCGAAGGCGGCATGCAAGCTGATTTTCAGTGGCACTCACACTGCCCGGGTCCTGGCCACCGCTCCAGGGGCTCTGCATTTTACTTTAATTTTAAATGAAGTTTCTTAACAATTTTTTAAAACCTTATTTACTTCACATACAACAATACTTTAGTTATATTTTATAGTCTTATAGAAAGAGATCTTCTAAAAACGTTAAAATGTATTACTGGTACGCGAAACCTTAAATTAGAGTGAATAAATGAAGACTCGGCACACCACTTCTGAAAGGTTGCGACCCCTGGCTTAGAACATGCCTAGAGCACAGCTAGAGAACCAATAAACTAACATCAAAACCTGGCACCTTCTTACTGGAGGCCTTGGCCACTTCCCAGAGTTTTGTTTTCTAATGCACCTAATACAGTGCAAAGTAGGTGACAGAGTAAGTTCACATGAAAAAACAATGGAATGGAAAAGATTCATTAACACTGTCCTCGCAGAAGTCCCCCAATGATGCTGTTACAAACAGGCCTTTTTCTGAGTGTGGGGGCCTGCAGCAAATCTGAAGAAATGTTCTGCGGTTAGTTTCGTGCAGGGCTGTATTTACACCTTATGCGCCACTAGGCAAAGCATCTTCAGCGCCCCCTCTCCTGCCCCGCCTACAGCTGACCTTCACGTTTTCCATAAAAAATGAAACTTTTAACCCACTTGTAGGCGCCCCAAGAACACTGGTGCCCCATGGCATGTGCCTACTGTGCCCAATTGGAAATCTGGCACTGGTTTTGTGATGTCATTTCTTGGGGGGGAGCTATGGCAAGCAGTGAAGGAGTCTGCTTTCTGTTTGAGTGTTTGTCTACACTACGAAGAGAGACCTGCGGCAGTGCGTATCAGAGCCTGCATCAACTGAATTGAGCTCACAGGGCTTGCGTTGCAGGGCTAAAAATAGCAGTGTAGACCTTCGGGTGCAGGTTGGAGCCCGGGGTCTGAAATTCTGAGAGAGGGTTGAATCTCAGAGCCCAGGCTCCATCCTGATGGGTCAGAACAAAATGTGTAAATAAGTAACAAAATAATTGTGTCATCACAGAGGTTCCTTATTTATTGCCTGCATCCAGCCCCCTTAGTCCATTCCTAGTCCACTCCATCTTCTTTCAAACTTCGTTGGCTAAACCAACTTTCCAGCTGCTTTTCTTGTGTCGCCTTTCGCTAAGCTTGTCTTCTCTTTGAAAGAAATCTCCTTTCTCATTCTTCATCTCTTATGTACTCTCCATAGGCAGCCTGGTGCAGGTTAGAGCAGCCCTGAGGCTGAGCTAATGTATGCTAAGGGATCAATTGCTCCCCCACAACAGGTCCCAGGATTGAGGCACACAAAGGCAGCATAAAGCCACCCCTCAGGTCCAGTGGAACTTGGCTGGACCTGGGAATTAGGACCAAATCAGAGATCAGTTATGTATTCTGGCTTTCTGCCCTTGTTTTAGATTTGAGTGCTCGGTACTGCAACCTAAAACTCTCTGCTAAACTGATTGGCATTAGATTCCTTGCTTTTCATAACTTAGTACAAACACCACAAACCACTAAGCAAAACAACAGGTATGATTTCTTGCACGATTTGATATAGTCAAAAGTCCATTAAGTTTGTCCTTCATGCTTATAACGACATCAATAACTGCGCAAGTGATGGCTGAAAAAAACAAAACAAAAGAACGCAGCCTGGCTCAGCCTAACCATATTTTCTAAGGAATATTTGTATTAACTTCTTCCATGTATAATCATCGCTGCAATCATTTTTATGCATAGATGAAACAGTTACCAAACATGGAGCAGATTTTGCTTTGCATTGATGTGGTAGGTAAAATTGTTTTAGATGAAAAAAGGAATGGAGGATATGAAAAAGTTCTTGGCAAAGCCACACAAAAAACCCTGATGGACTTAACATAATGACAATTTCAAAATCATTACTAAAGTAATCAATAATTTTCCTGACAGCACCCATTAAAATGCATACTGATTCCTCTGTGTCTGCATAGAATGGCTGTTCTTAGAGAACATAATTAAAAAAGCTACATTTATCAATGTCAAGTATAACATGCAGGCCAGTGCAGGGAACCTCACTCTACACTTACAAATCAGAGTCAGAAAAAACATAAGACACCTGATTTTCAGAGGTACTGAGGACTTACAGTTTCCACTGATTTGGGGTTGTGAGCACTCAGTACTTCTGAAAATCAGGCCCATATTTGTCCAAACAGTGCTCAGAAAGTGTATATTCTCCATCAAAGAGGCA